GGAGATGGATGGAGGCCGTGTGTGGAGGTGGAGGCCTGGCGTGGAGATGGAGGCCCTGTGTGGAGGTGGAGGCCCGGCGTGGAGATGGAGGCCCGACGTGGAGATGGATGGAGGCCCTGTGTGGAGGTGGAGGCCCAGCGTGGAGATGGAGGCCCGGCATGGAGATGGAGGCCGTGCGTGGAGAGGGAGGCCTGGCGTGGAGATGGATGGAGGCCCTGTGTGGAGGTGGAGGCCCGGCGTGGAGATGGAGGCCTGGCGTGGAGATGGAGGCCGTGCGTGGAGAGGGAGGCCTGGCGTGGAGATGGATGGAGGCCCTGTGTGGAGGTGGAGGCCCGGTGTGGAGATGGAGGCCCGGCGTGGAAATGGAGGCTGTGCGTGTGGAGATGGAGGCCGTGCGTAGAGAGGGAGGCCCGGCGTGGAGATGGAGGCCCGGCGTGGAGAGGGAAGCTCTGTGTAGAGATGGAGGCCTGGCGTGGAGATGGATGGAGGCCGTGCGTGGAGAGGGAGGCCCTGTGTGGAGGTGGAGGCCCGGTGTGGAGATGGAGGCCATGCGTGGAGAGGGAGGCTCTGTGTAGAGATGGAGGCCTGGCGTGGAGGCGGAGCAATCCGGAAGGAGGTGCAGAGCGGCCTTGTGTCTAACACCATCACACGTGTGACGTATTCAGGAGGCCCACGGGGTTTGGGGGAGCTTCATACCAGCAGAAACTAGACTGGCAGGGACAGTGTTGAGTGAAGGGAGGCAGGCGTCGGACTTCCGGGAGTCTGCAGGCCGGAAACAGGCCGGTGGCGCCCCTCAGCTGTGAGCACAAGCTGCCCTGCAGGAAACAGGGAATGACCCTGAGGCTCCAGCAGAGGCCAGCGGGGCGGAGAGTCCCCTGAGGCACGTCCCCAGAGCTGTGCCACGTGGCGTTTGCCTCGCTGGATTGAAGACCGTGGTGGCTGGCGTCCCCTCTGTCGTTCTCTGTTTTTGAGCAGGGATGCCGTCCTGTGTTGGATGCTTTAAGCAGGTGACTTGTTTTCCAGATTCACAGGTCCATGCACAGGGATGGCAGCCCCAGCGTGGCGCAGCCACGGCCTCACACGTACCTGAGTTCAGTGATTCCCATGACTTTAGATGATGAGATTTGGGACTTTTTGAACAAATGGGATTTCCCCCAAGACCGAGCCTCACTGTGTCACTCAGGCTGAAGTCTAGTGGTGCGATCACGGCTCACTGCAACCTCTGCCTCCTGGGTTCAAGCCATTCTCCTCCCTTGGCTCCTGAGTAGCAGGGATTGCAGGCACCCGCCACCACACCCAGCTAATTTTTATATTTTTAGTAGAGACAGAGTTTCACCATGTTGGTCAGGCTGGTCTTGAACTCCTGACCTTAGATGATCTACCCGCCTCGGCCTCCCAAAGTGCTGGGATTACAGGTGTGAGCCACTGTGCCCAGCCAATGGATGGGATTTCGATGAGGTTTTGGACACAGAGTCCATGCTGCAGAGGGTGGAGACTCTGGGGGATTTTGGCAAGGGTGAGTGTATTCTGAACATAAGATGGACATGAATTTTGGGGGTTTGGGGGAACACAGTGGGTTGGATGCTGGTCTCCAAAATGTCCCAGAGTGTGCAAAGGTGACCTTATTTGGAAAAAGGTCCTTGCATCTGTAACCAAGCCTGGGATCTTGAAGCAAGGTCACCCTGGATCATCCAGTGAGCCCTAGGTCCGGTGGCAGCTGTCCTTACAGCAGAGGAGGAGACACGCAGACGTGGAGAACGCCGCGGAGAGGCGGAGGCAGAGACGGGGCGGTGCGGCCAGAAGCCAAGGACTCCTGGGCTGCTGGGAGCTGCAGGAGGCGGTGAGGGACCCCATGCTCCACGGCAACACGGTCCCTGTCACGTGAAGGATCTGGAAGTGCACCGAAGAGCCTGCCTGTAACTCGGCGGACCAGCCTGCGCACCCACGGGTGAGCAAATCACGACCCACTGTCTCACTCAATTCATGCTGCAGTCACCAGCACAAACAGCCCCACGGGAGACACCGTAGGGTCCAGACCGCCTTCCCTGCAGGGCGAGGCGGGGACAGCTGGCTGCAGTGGTGCGAAGCCTGGGCTCGCTGACTGGCACAGTGGAACCACCCCTGGAAAATCGCGAGGAAGAGAATCATCCCATTAGGGTACACGTGGAAAAGAGAGTCGGAGCCGCTCAGTGTGTCTTGAGAATTGACTGTAAATTCAACTCCCTTCTGGGGCTTCCATCAGCAAATGTGTCCTTTTTGGAACCTTAGTAATATTGGTGTGGTTCTGATTAAAACGAGTGTTCCTCACAAGAAGGGAAGGGACCCCCAGGTCAGAAGAGCAGAGGCCCCCGTGGGGTCCCTCTTCCCTCTTGGAGCTGCCTCCGTGGACTCTGGGGTGCCCATTCCTGGAGCCGTGGGCTCTCTGGGGTGGGTGGGCCAGCTCCACCCCTGCCCGGCCTTGTCTGAGACCCCTGTCCCATGTAGCCCCCGACACATGGGACTGTGGGGGGCTGGGCTGGCTGGGGGACCCTCATGGATGCTGAGTGGGGGGCCACTAACTCTCTGTTGCTTCTGTTTGAAGGAAGGAGCCCCCGCCGGAGCCGTCGCCAAGGTCAGTGCCCCCGCCCCCGCCGCCCTGGTGTCCGTGTGTGAAGGGCTGTCTGGTCTTGCTCTGTGTGCACAGCCTGCCGTGGGGGCGTGAGGGCCTCAAGGGCCGTGCCTGTCCTTCCCTGTGTGACCGAGTGTGTGTCCCGAAGTGGGTCCTTAAATCACTTTCCCTACTCAGCCCTCCCAGTAATTGGTTTTACTCTGCAGCACTGTGGATCTGGCAGCTGGGGGGCTTCTCCAGTGGGATCCCCCACCTGACCACAGGTCCGGCCCCAAGGGTCTCGGAGGCAGGGGCTTTCTGCAAGCGCACCCCCTCCGGCTGCCGGCACACGCCCGGACTCGCAGCTGGCCACAGTCGAGGATGGCCGAGGTCAAAGCTCTGAGGGGGCCTCTGGAGCTCCTGCTGCTCTGGGTCCGGGGCCCTCGTCCCCCAGGGGAGGGTGGGACATCCTCTGCCTTGCGCCGCTGGTGGAGATTTTCTGCCGGTCCCCTGTCCCCATTTGCCAAGGTCGAGGTGGGCCAAGGGTGCAGGTGCTTAGTCTGGTTACCTCTCCCGGGCCCTGAGGTTCTGTGGGTCAGGCAGGCTGGAGACGGGACGCGTGTGGGACTCTGCTGGGGTGAAGGGTGGAGACAGAATCCGGATCATTTCACAAGTTAGTTCTGTGTCTGCCAAGCCCCAGTCCACCCTGCGTCAGTGTGAGGGGGTCCAGGCTTCTCTGGAACCCCCAGCGCCCCATCCACACGTTGCAGAGTAAGTCCAGCCTCTTGGATCTGGTCCAAGATGGATGCCCGCCTGCCCTGTGCCCGCCTGAGCCCTCCTGGACTGTGATGAGACACTGGGGGGCTCGGGTGACCACCAGGGGCTTGTTCATCCTCCCAGGGAGGCTAAAAGATCGCACCAGGGCCCAGGGAAAGCCAGGTCGGCAGCATGGCCTCTGCTGGTGCCACTGCCGGAAGGGGACCCGGAGCCGGTGCTGGCCACGGCTGCAGAGGGGCCACGTCATTCTCCTGTCACTGCCTCCCCCGCCTGTTGCCGGCCCAGAGGCTGGGGGTGGCTGGGGGGAAGGGCACTGTGCCCCCACAATGGGCACCTCAGCTGTGATTTGGGTGGACTCTCGGCACTGCCGCAAGTGGACGCGAGCCTTCCCCACCCCTCCCCGAGGCCCGACCCCGCCCTTGCTGGGGGGCGGCTCAGTGGCTGACGGCGCCCTCCCTCGTCGCCCCGCCCGCCCGCTCCACCTTCTGGTCTCAGCTTCTCTCTTTCTCTCTCTCCCTCCCGCCCTCCCCCCATCCGGACACCCTCGGCCCCCACCTGCTTTAACCCCTGTTACTGCCCTTCCCGGGCCCCTCTCGTCTGCCCCCTCTTTGGGGATGAGTCGCTGGCCCTGAAAGCGAACTCCAGGTGAGGACACTCGGGAGCCTCTGGGCTCCCACCCCTCCCCCGTCTCTTCCCCACATTTCCGAGGGGCCCTGCCTGCCTGTGCTTCCCACGCCTCCCCCAGGGGCCAGTGCCCACCCGCCCAGCCCTCGTCCTGGGACGCCTGTGGTAAGGGCGTGGGGCAGCCGGGTCGGGGCATCTGGAGGCTGGCTAGGGTGCGGTGGGAGCGAAGAGCTGTCTCTGCCCTCAAGGACCCCCCGCCCATCCTGGGATGCCACCTGCCAGGTAACAGGGTGGGTCTCTGTCCCCTGGCCTGGGGCAGCTGCAGCCCCCCTATTGCCAGTGCAGGGTCGTGCTGTTCTGAAGTTGTCACCTGCCACATCCCTGGGCTGCTGGCTGCGGGGGCCTGCTCTTCGAAGCATGAGGGGGAGCTTGGCTCCCAGCACCCCTCTGCTGCCCGGCCCCGCCCTGTGAGTCTGGTGTCAGCTGGTCTGGGCAGGTAGATGGTGAGGACACAGGGACCCTCACTACCTGCTGAGACCCCCCCACCCCCATCCTGGCTTGTAACACAGGCACGTGGCAAGCATCGGCTCCTGTAGGGCCCATGGGCTGTGCCGGAGTCAGAGGAGGCTACGTGGGGGTGGGGTGGGGAGCCAGGCTGGCTGGGGGCTCAGGGCTGTGCTGCCCCGGGGGGTCTTGGGGGTCTCTGTGGCTGGGGAGCCAGGCTGGCTGGGGGCTCAGGGCTGTGCTGCTCTGGGGGGGGTCTCTGGCCATGGCGGCTCCGATTCGTGCTGCCTTGCCCCCCCCCACGTCTCCCTGTCTTCTGCCCCCTCGCCTGGAGGAGCCCCCACCCCAGCTGCCCCTCATGCCCCGTGTAGCTCCTCTCTTCTCAGGCATGGTGTCTGTGTGGTTTTGGTGCATGTCTGCCCTATCTGGTCTCGGTCAGGGTCTGTGGGCCTCCGGGTTGCCGTGGGCCTGCCTGCCTGCCTGGCCTTCTTACCCACGTGTGGAGCTCTATGTGGCTGATGAAGCGGGAAGGAAGCCCAGTGCCAGCTGTGGGCCCCAGGGGGAGGTGCAGCTGCTCGGGCCCCCCACAGAGCTTTGGGGGTCTTGGGGGGCCGTGGCGGCAGTGCCTCTGCCCAGCTCTCCCCAGCCCTCAGACCACGCTGCCCCAGACAGGAGCTGCCAGCCACGAGTGGCTGTGAAAACACTGTGCATTGAAATGGGCACGAGACTCGGGGGCCAGGGGTGGGCATGGCTGCAGCCAGCGCTTTGGTGTCGCTGGAGGGCAGTCCCGTTGCAGAACCTGGCCCTGTGCCTGGGAAGGGCCTCCTGGGCAAGGCAATCCTGCTGGGGTCAAAACTGGAGCCCTCGGGAGGTTTGGGGAACAGGCCTCCGCCTCCTTCCTACTGCTTCCCCTGGGGTGGGGACGGTCTCCTGGGGCCCTTGGGCAGGGGCCTCTGTGCTGGGGCTTGGGCACCCTGGGGGTGCTGATGACAGTCTCAGGTCTTTGCCTGCCAGGCAGGCTTGGGTGCCATTGTGGCTGGGGTGCCCTGGGGTGGCTGCAGTGGGAGAGGCTTCCGCGAGCAGCCAGAGCCTCAGGCCAGGCGCTAGGTGCCGGCTCCCTCCCGCCCCTCCCACCCTCTCGCTCATGGTTAACTACCAATCGGAGTCAGCCTGTGCACCACATCCTGAAGGGCCTGGGGACCCCGAAGCCACTTGCCTACTAAAAAGTGGGACCAGCACAGGGCCTGGGGCGGAAGCCAGGCACCCGCCCTTGGGGTCTTGCAGGCCAGCAGGGTTTGGGGAAGGGTCCAGAGCCCTCAGCCTGCCCGGCGGCCGAGCGCTGCCGCGACTAGACCTAGGCGTGTCTGTGGTGCTGCGTGGAGCGCTGTCGGCGGCCAGACGCAGGGAGCACCAGCGTCCAGAGGCACGCGTGTGCAAGAAGACGGGGGCTGGGCACGTTCTTCTGGAGCCTGTGTGTTCTGAGCAGACGCCGTTGGCATGCCGGGGTTCTTGGGGCACCTCGTTGGAGAAGCGCTGCCTCGGGGAGCAGCTGCAAGGCGCATCGAGCGGCTGGGCGGGGAAAGAAAGGCCCTGCGGTTCTTGGTGGTTTCCATTTCTTGCCTAAACATTTGCACATTGTGATGCAGAGATAAACCACCAGGGCTTTCCGGGAGATTCTCGGGAAAGTGTTCCATGTTTTCTGAGCCTTTTCTAAGGAGCACCCCGGCGGGGAACCGCGAGGGTGCGGTGAAGGCATTCGCACTGAGGGGATCCACTGAGCCCTGATGCGGCCGTCCTCAGGGAGCCTTGAGCCCCCGGGTGCCCCGAGCCCCTCCAGTTCCCAGCAGCGGCAGCCACGCCTCCCGGGTGAACCGAGACGCGCCTCCGGCTGGGGGCCTGGCTGGCAGGGCAGTGTCACCAAGGGGTCTGCAAGGCGGGACAACTGCCCACTTTCCTCCCTCAGATGCGCGCTTACCCCGCCTCTTCCCGGGCTGCGCCTCCCTAGCGCCTTCTGCAGCCCTGAGGCCGTGTATTATTGTTTTGTTGGCATGAATACTGCAAAAAATAATACAGCTTTTAAGACGTGGACCCAAACTGTGGCTTTGGGAGGAAAAGGTATTTTTCAAGGAAAAAAAAAAAAACCAGGAATTTTTTTCCTTTAAAAATAGGGAAGTGTTTTCTTCTCCGGATGGTAGAGGCGGTGGTGCGGCTTGCTCGCTGGCCTTGCTTGGGCGCAAGCTCTGCCGCTGGGGATGCGCCCGACACCCTGGGCGGTTGCGGTGCCTCAGTTTCCCCGCTCCCGGCCATGTGCTGTTGCTGGCGCCCAGGACTAACTGTGCTCTCCTCATTTCCAGTAAAGGCAGCCCGTGCAGAGGGTCCCTGTGTGGATGCTGCCCCGGACGCTCTAGGTACCGCGGAACGCGCCTCACGGACTGACCGCTGCTGCACGGCTCCTCTGCCTGCCCCGCTTACTAAAGGCTCTGGAGCAGCCAGGGGAGGCTGGCGCCCCAACCCCAGTTCCGACCCACCGACCTTGCGGTGCGGGCCTGGCTCCCTCTATTCCAGCCGCAGCTGCGCGCAGGACGGAGCTGGGTGAAGGTGATTCTTGCCACCCCGCCAGGCGACGCCCTGCGCACAGCTGGAGGGGCCAGCCAGGGCTGTGAACCCAGCAAGGCGTTCGTGCCTCCTGGGGTCCCCGACTGCTCTTCAGGGAACGTTTCCCTAGGGCTGCCACTCTAGCACCTCTGCTGTGCACCTGAGGGCGACTGAGCCTCCCCGGCTGCCTCGCCTGCGCGGGGCAGCTCCATCTGTGTGTGCCGGGCTTCTCAGGGTCTTGATGCATCGAAGCCCCAGAACCCCAGAGGCCCTCGGCTTCCTCTTCCTACAACAGGCCTGAGGGCGGGTGAAAACAGGACGGGGGAGGAGCCGCCCGCTTTGCACTGTGGGCTCCTGGCCTGCACCGTGACCTGCACCTCCCTGCCCCGGTGTCCCCTGTCTGCAGGCCTGCGCTGGGGGCCCCTCCCTCCCGGCCAGCATGGCCCAGCAAGGCAGAGGCGGCTGTGCTGTGCCCATGTGGGGCTCACCTCCGCGCATGCTGGGCCTGGAGGGTGGGGCGCTGCATGCTGCCCCCCTGCATCTGTGCATGCTCCGGACCCTGCTCCACCAGGCCCGCCGGCCCCGCCACCCTCTCCCTGCGACTTTGTGCTGCTGCTTGTGCTTTGGGGGTCGGTGCTTGCGGGATCCCCAGAGAGGGAGATGGGGTGTGGGCTGCCCGGGACGAGGCCTGCTTGGACTCTGGCAGGCTGTCCTGCATGTCCAGAGCATCTGCGTTCAGGGCGTTTCCGGCTGCAGGCTGGTTTGGGGCAGGGGCTGAGGTCAGGCTGCTTGGGGACTAGAGGGCTTTGGAAGTGGGGCTGGGAGCCCCGGCCAGAGCATGACCCATGCCATGCCACGTCCTGCTTCGAGCAGCCCCCACTGGAGGCCCCTTCATGCGCCCGCTCCCTGGGCATTGCTGCTCCTGACACCAGCTGGGTGGGGCTCTGGAGGCTGGCTCCCCAGCCTCCTGCTCCCTGCAGGCCCTGACATCTGATTGTCACTGCGGGGAAGGCGGCAGGCAGCGTAGGGGTGAAGTGCAGGTACCGGGGACACCCCTCGAGCAGCGAGGGCAGCTCTGGTTGAGGGCTCCTCCCGGGCGGGTGGCGGCAGCTTTTTGAGTTTGCTTGTTCTTGGCTTGTGCGCCGGGGGAGGGCCTGTGAGACCACACGCGCTCCTGGCGGCCGAAGCGGGCTGACGGGGTCGGGTGTCCGCGGCATGGAGCCTCACCAGCTGTGCTTGGAGGGTGCAGAGTTCGGGTCCTGGTGGAGGTCCAGGGAGGGAAGGACGCGTCCAGACCCCACCACCTGCTTCTCCCCGGCAGAGCCTCCCTTGCAGATCTGAGGTGGGAGGGAAGCCCCAGGGCCGGGACGGTGGGGCCCTGCTGAGGCCGGGGCGGGCTCCTTCCCTCCAGCTCCATCTTCCTGCGGCTCCCCCGTGTTGGCTGGGGCAGTGCATGAGGGCTGCGTCCCGGAGCCCCGGTGCTGCGCTGGGCATGGGGTCTGGCAGGGCGTCCCTGCCGCTCGGCGGGGCTGTGGCTGCTCGTGGTGGCCGGGGGGATTCCCCACTGGAAAACAAGATGCAGGCATCGGGCCGGGTCCCCTCGCCCAGGGCCGTGGAAACCACGCTGCTCCTTCATTGCAGCTCCCAGCAGCTGCGGGGCCTACGCCTTCTTGGCCGCACGTCTGTGTGGCGCATGGGTGTCTGACCCGTCACCTCTAAGGCCGCAGGCAGGAATCTGCTGCTGATTCCTCACCATGCGCCTTCCCCACTGCAAGCCGTCATCACCGGGCTCCCGAGACCAGCCAGGGACAGCCCGGAAGCTGCAGCTGACCTGACGGCTCCGCCCTCCACCCGGTGCTTCTCCAGTGGCCGTGGGAAAGGAGGTGGCCGCTTCTTTCTCTTTGGTGACTGGACCTGCCTGTGTGGAGACCTGGAGAGCGGAACTGAGTCTTCCAGTGACCCCCACTTGCCCTGAGGCCTGAGCAGGGCCAGAAGGGGGCCGTTCCTACCTCTGAAATGGCTCGTGCGGTGGAGGAGGAGAGAAGAACATTCCAGAAGCCAGAGTCCCGCCAAGCCCGTGCCCAGGTGCTCCCTTGGCCCCCAACGGGTTCTCCTCGGCCACCTGTGCTTCCGTTGGGTCAGGGACCAGAGGCCCCCACGACACCAGGACTCGGGGCACCCCTGGCCCCCATGGGCATGGCGTGTTGGCCCCGGGCAGTGCAGGGCGTGGACTCAGGGCCGGGGTCCTGAGCAAGCCTGTACCATCCACTCCAGATGCCCGCAGCACACCCTTCAGGGCTGGGGGTCTCGGCCTCTCCGTCTCTGCTTCCCCTGCAGGCACGGCATCCAGGGGCTTCTTTCTTCCTCTCAGAGACCCCAGAGTGGCCACAGATGGTCTAGGCATGGTCTGGGCAGTCGCCTGCTGCATGGCGGATGGGGTGGGAGGGCAGCCAAGCCCAAAGCGTGGAGGCCGGTGGACAGTCACGGTGGGCGCGATGGGCACTCCGTTGTAGTGCGTTCTCTCTGTGCCGTCTGGTGGGCGTGTCTCTCTGGCTGTGGGTCCCGGTGGGGGCCGATGCTGGCTGCTGACCCGGGCCTTGGCCCCTCACTGTTGGCTGGGGAGCCGCCATGGAGCCCAGGAGGTATTAGAGTGCGTCAGGGACTAACTGGGCCTCCCCACCCAGGGGCTTGTCTCAGGCCCCAGGAGCAGTGCTCTGGGCCCAGAGCCGTCCTGAGAAGTTCCTTGGCTGCTGAGCATGGCGGGCGTTAACAGGTCCCCAGTTCACAGGAGTCCCACTGTCCTCAAGGGAGCTGGGGGCTCTGATGCTTCCCAGACCTCCGGAGGCACATCTGCCTGGGGTACGCCAGCCGCAGTGAACCCCCACCCCCACTGTTGCCCAGAGGATGCTGGAGTCTGGGGCACCCCAGCCGTGGTGACCTCCCCACTGGCACCCAGAGGACACTGGAGCTGAAGAACTCGGGTGCAGACCTGTCTCCTTGGTTACCAAGAGACTCGAGGACAAGGCAACCCCAAGGACCCCCGAGAATCTGGAGCTGGAGGCCCAGCCAGACACAGCCACAAATCCTGCTTCATGTCTTGAGGGCCGAGCGCCGGGCCACCGTGCGGCGGCCTCAGAGGCTGCCTCCCCGCCCCCTGGGGCCAGGACTCCGACCGCCAACCGTGAGGCTTGTTGCCTGAGGCCCTGCTGGCAGAGGACCTGTCCTCGATTCCTTCCTTCCAGAAGCTGAGGGAGCAGTTCTCCGTCGGACGCCCCTGGCGGGAGGGGTGCTGTGCAGAGGAGGCCTGAGTCCCCCCGAAGCCCACCCCTCCAGGCGGCCCCCGGCGTCTGGGAAAGGCCTGGGTGTGGCTGCACCAGTGACTGCTGCAGACTCGGCCCCCACGTCCTGGTTGTCCCCCATGTCCTCCCACACCCTCGACTGGGCAGAAGGAGAGGGACAGGCGGAGGGAGGGGAGGAGGGAGGCTGCTTCCAGGGGGCAGTTACGGCTGTGAAAAGGCCACAGGGGAAACCACAGGCCAAGGCAGACGCAGGCGCCTGAGAAGAGGGCAGCCCGAGTGCCACTGGGTGAGGGGCTAGTGGGACAGCGTGAGGAGGGCTCTGGCGCCTTGTGGTGGTGGCAGAGCGGGATTTAAGAGTCCGCAGACATCGCCTCCCCGACATGGCCAAGCTCTGGCCACACCAGTGCCAGCCCAGACTCCCCTCCCGCCTTCCCCCCGGGTGCTCGGTCCCCGTGGCACCTGCTCTGAGCCGCCTGTGTGGCTGCTCCTCAGACCTGGGTCTTCCTCCCGTTGCGTGGGCAGGGTCTGCTGAGAGCCGACACGGCCTGTGTTCTCTCTGGAGTGACTTCTCTCGCTGTGTTTCTGTTTGTCTGTCGGTTCCCGTGGGAGCAGCCAGAAGGTCAGTTTGAAAGATCGTGTCTTCTCCAGCCCCCGAGGTGTGGCTGCCAAGGGGAAGGGGTCCCCGCAGGCCCAGACGGTGCGGCGGTCCCCCAGCGCCGACCAGAGCCTTGAAGACAGCCCTAGCAAGGTGCCCAAGAGCTGGAGCTTCGGAGACCGCAGCCGGGCACGCCAGGCTTTCCGCATCAAGGGTGCTGCATCTCGGCAGAACTCAGAAGGTGGGTCTGGCCTCCTCAGCGCCCCCCGATCTGAGACTGAGCCCCTCTGGGGCTGGATCGTGGCGCCTGAGCTACCAGGGCCACCTGAGGCATCGCTGCCTCTTTCGCTTGCTCTGGGAGTGGAAACCTCCCCCCCCCACACTTTCTAAAATTGAGGTGAAACTTGGGCAGCATGAAATTAACTACTTGAAAGTGTAGCCAGGCGTGGTGGCTCACGCCTGTAATCCCAGCTCTTTGGGAGGCTGAGGCGGGCACATCATGAAGTCAGGAGTTTGAGACCAGCCTGGTCAACACAGTGAAACCCCATCTCTACTAAAAATGCAAAAGTTACCTGGACATGGTAGCGGGCACCTGCAGTCCCAGATTCCTGGGAGGCTGAGGCACAAGAATCGCTTAAACCCGAGAGGCGGAGGCTGCAGTGAGCCGAGATCGCACCACTGCATCTGAGCCTTGGGGACAGAGTGAGACTCCGTCTCAAGAAAGAAAAAAGTGTAGAAATCCAGTGGCATTTAGCACATTCACAGCGAGGTTGTCGCCACCATCTCAGCCTGGTTCTAGAAGATTCTCATAATCACAAAAGAAAACCCTGTTCTCACCAGCAGTCACCCGGTTCCCCGCCTCAGCCCCAGCACCTGCGGTCTCGGGCGCACAGGTCAGCAGCTCCTGCGTGGGGTTGTCAGCTCTGGCTTCCCTCACTGAGCCCAGTGTCAGAGTGGCACATCCACGGTTAGCGTCCTGCGTGTGGAAGCGCTGTGTTCTGTTCAGCCACTGGCAGGGATGTCCTTGGACACCCACATCGGCCACTCCCTGTGGCCACAGACTGCTGGGGAAGGTCCTGGCCCGCGAGCCACTGATGCAGAGGGACAGGTTTCTGGAAAAGCTGGGGCACCCGTGGGGCACCCTGGGGAGCCTTGAGGGGCTCTCTGGCGTTCTTTCTGGCTGGTGTGCCCTGTAGGATCCCACGAGTGGGTTTCCCATCCCTCTCGACCCCTCATGGCCTGTCTCCTTCACCCCAGAAGCAAGCCTCCCTGGAGAGGACATCGTGGATGACAAGGGCTGCCCCTGTGAGTTTGTGACTGAGGACCTGACTCCGGGCCTCAAAGTCAGCATCAGAGCTGTGTGGTGAGGACTTGCCCAGCCGGGATCCTGGGGGAGGGAGGAGGGGTCTCCTGTCCATGGCCACATGTGCTGCGGTGTTCCTGGTGCAGGACAGCAGCCAGGAGACGGGGTCTGCCCGGAAAATAAAGGGCCAAAGTGTGGGCAGGCCTGGCTGATCGCCTGGGTCCAGTCTTCCTGGGACTGCAGCGGGCCTCGGGAGGGATGCCGGTTGAGCAAGAGGCCTGAGGCCTGGCTCTGCCTGGCTTAGGAAGCAGCTCAGCCACCTGTGCCTGGTGTGGCACGGAGTCCAAGGGGGCATGGCCAGGCCTGGAAGCCTCGGCCGTCTCAGGTATAGCAGGGACCCCGAGGCCAGGCCCTTCCATGCGTGGAGCCGGTGGGTGGCAGACAAGAGGGGAGAGTCCAGCCACCTCCAGGGGCCAAGGTCTCAGAGGTGCTGGGAAGGCGACAGGCAGGCGGACATGGGGCCAGCCTGGTGCGTGTGGTCTCTGGCTCAGGGGTCACTGTCCCCCCCTCCACAGTGTCACAGGCAGGTGGAGATGAGACCAGCCTGGTGCGTGTGGCCGGGGACTCTGGCCGAGGGCTCACTGTCATCTCCCCCTCCTGCAGTGTCATGAGGTTCCTGGTGTCCAAGCGGAAGTTCAAGGAGAGCCTGCGACCCTACGATGTGATGGACGTCATTGAGCAGTACTCGGCCGGCCACCTGGACATGCTGTCCCGCATTAAGAGCCTGCAGTCCAGGCAAGGGCCCCCGCCAGCCTGTCCAGCAGGGGAGCAGGGGACAAGAGCGGGGTGGGCGGTCGCGCCAAAGCCCAGTGTGGCCCATGGTGGGAGCGCAGGGGGCGTGCAGGGAGCGGCCGCCTCCCCACCCACGTCGGCATCTGTCAGCCTCGGTGGTGTCTTCCAAGTCTGTTGTAATATTTCTGTTCTCTCCACCTCTCCCCATCCACACTGCGGCGGGCAAGTGTGTGACGTGTTTGTGCACACATGCACACGTGTGTGCACGGATGTGTGGGTCCCTGAAATGTGTGTGTGCGCGTATGTGTAAGTGCACACGTGCACAGGTGTGTGTGGGGTTGTGTGCGTCTGGGGCCTGTGCGCTCTGCCATGTGCACACGTGTGTGTTGGGGGTGGAGTAATTCTGCTGAGAGACGAAGCTGCAGGGTGGACCCCGCCAGGCCGCGGCTGTCACTTCGCACCTTTCCTTCCTCCACGCTGCTCTCCTGCAAGGGGAGGCCGCTCCTGGGCAGGGCCAGCACCATGCGTGAGAACCCCTGTGCCCACTCCAGGAGTCAAATGTACATTCATGTAGAGACACACGTCAGGGCTGGGCACACTATGCACACACATGCACCCCACATGCAGGCGTGTACCAGCGTGCACACAGACCCACGTCTCCTCTCCCACACACGTGCACCCCACCTACAGGCGTGTACCAGTGTGCACACACAGACCCACGTCACCTCTCCCACACACATGCACCCCACGTACAGGCGTGTACTAGCGAGCATACACAGACCCACGTTCCCTCTCCCACACACGTGCACCCCACATACAGGGGGTACCAGTGAGCACACAGACCCATGTCCCCTCTCCCACACACGTGCACTGCATGTACAGGCATGTACCAGTGAGCACACAAACCCACATTCCCTCTCCCACACGTGCACCCCATGTACAGGCATGTACCAGCGAGCACACGCAGACCCACATCCCCTCTCCCACACACTTGCACCCCATGTACAGGCATGTACCAGCGTGCACACGCAGACCCATGTCCCCTCTGCCACACACGTGCACCCTATGTACAGGCATGTACCAGTGCGCACACACAGACTCACATCCCCTCTCCCACACGTGTTCACACACAACCGTGCTCCAGCCTGGTGCCCACACATAGGTGTCCCCTAAGACCATACACATGCTGGTGTGTGTGCAACCTCAGGCACATACAAACAAGCCATGCTATGAGTGTGTGTATCTTTCCTGGGGGAGACACACGGCTCTTGGGAGTTTCTCGTGCAGTAGGGGACACGCTCCTGCCTATCAGGGTCCCCATCGTCTCCCAGGCCCCCAAGCAAGGCTGTAGCAGTTTCCCAGCCCTGGGAGTGAGGCTGGGCCCCCATTACAGGGAGAAGGCTGAGATGCTCAGGGACAGCCCTGGGGGTCACGGCCCAGCTCAGGCCCTCCAGCGGAGCGAAGCGCTCATCTGAGGGGGTCCAGGGCCCAGTGTGGGGCTCCTGCTCCGTCCCGCTTCAGGGGGCCCAGGAAGGGGTTTCTCCAGCCTTAGCCCCCTCCTGCTGTTCAGGGGTCAATGAGGCACCCCCTGCGCCCCCTCCCCCAGGCCCCAGTTGTGAGGCCTCCTTCCCAGCATCCTCTCCAGAGCAGTTGTCAGCATTGTGCTGCATGTGCAGGTGTGCGTGGGTGTGCATGGGTGCATGTGTGCTCACGTGTTTACATGCACGTGCGCATGTTCATGTGTTTCCATGTTTCCATGTGTGTTTAATGTGCATGTGTGTGTTCTCGCGTGTTTGTGTGCATGTGTGTTCATGCGTGTTCAGTGTGTGCGTGCGTGTTCACATGTATGTGTTGGCATGTTTGTATGCATGTGTGTGTTCGCGTGTGGGTGTGTGTGCACATGTGTGTGTGTGTGCGCGCGTATGTTCACTTTTGTGTGCGTGTTTGTGTGCATGTGTGTTCATGCGTGTTCAGTGTGTGCGTGCGTGTTCACATGTATGTGTTGGCATGTTTGTATGCATGTGTGTGTTCGCGTGTGGGTGTGTGTGCACATGTGTGTGTGTGTGCGCGCGTATGTTCACTTTTGTGTGCGTGTTTGTGTGCATGTGTGCATGTGCGTGTGTGCGTATGTTTGCATGTATGCACGTGTGCGTGTCTGCACACGTATATTCGTGTTTGTGTGCATCTTACTGTGTTCGCGTGCGTGTGTTCATGCATGTGCACATGTGTGTGTGCGTGTTCACGTATGTGTGCGCGTTAGTGTGTTCGCGTGCAAATGTGCGTTGCGTGTGTGCATGTTCACGTGTGTGCATGTGTGCATGTGCATGTGTGTGCGTGTGCACACTTACATGTGCGTGCGCGCGTGTTCGTTTGCATGTTAGCAAGTGTCCGTGTGCATGTGCGTGTGCGTGTTTGCGTGTGTGCATGTGTGTGTGTGTGCGTGTTTGCATGTGTGCGTGCGTTCACGTTTGCGTGCATGTGTGCATATGTTCCCGTGGATGCACATGTGTGCGTGTGCGTGTGCGTGCATTCGTGTGTGCATGTGTGCATGTGTGCATTTGCGTGTGTGCGTGTGCGTTTGTGTGTGTGTTCAAGTTTGCAGGCATGTGTGCATGTGCATGTGCGTGTTCACGTGTGGTGTGTGCGTGTGTGCACTTTTGTGTGTGTGTGTTCACGTGTTTGCGTGCATGTGTGTGTGCGCACGTGTGTTTGCATGTTTGCATGCGTGTTAGTGTGTGTTTGCGTGCGTGTGTGTGTGCATGCTTATGTTTGCATGTGCATTAGTATGTGTTGGCATGCATGTGTGCAGGTGCATGTTCACGTGTGTGCATGTGCGTGTGTTTGCATGTACGTGTCAGTATGTGTTCACGTGCATGTGTGTGTGTTTGTGTGTGTGCGTGTGCATGTGTTTGCATGCTCATTAGTATGTGTTCACGTGCATGTGTGTGTGTTTGCGTTTGTGCGTGTGCGTGCCTGTGCATGCACGCGCACACGTGTGCATACACTCTCGTGTTGACTTTTGTGCTTTGCCTCCACGTCTCTCTCTGCAGCTGTCCTTGTTCACCAGGATCTTTTGTCCTAAATCTTCCATTTTCCTTCCCTTTCTCTCTGAACAAACAAACCAAGCAAACCAAACCACGCAGGGACCGCAGGTGTCCTGTCAGCTCCGGACGATGCGTTTCATGTTGCCTGCAGCGGTCCGTCTGGTACTGGCTCCCGCTGCCGGCGTCTCCCCCGCACGGCAAGCTCCGGGACGTGGCACCCGGGTCACCGCGGTGGGGCCGCCTGCCGCCCGCTCCCGAGCCCAACGCTTTGCTTGAAACACGGGAAGGACTTGGCAAATCCAAGGTCCACCAAGGCGGCGCCCCGCTTTCCTGGGAAAGTGTCTGTTTTTCGAAGCCTCACTGTCGCTTCCGTTGGGCGTTCCTTCCGTTTCCGCCAGTTTCTGGCCGACTCCTCTTTCGTGTGGCTTTACGATGCATTTTGCTGGTGTCTCTTTTCTTGTTTACTCTGCCAGGATAGATATGATTGTGGGTCCCCCACCCCCTTCAACTCCCCGGCACAAGAAGTACCCCACCAAAGGACCCACGGCCCCTCCGAGAGAGTCACCCCAGTACTCACCTAGGTTAGGATGCCAGCGCCTCTCCCGACGTGTCTGTGGAACGGCCGGCCCCTTCGCTCCAGGCCACATGACGGCAGCACCCCGCACCGCCCGTTCCCTGGGACACACGGATGTCTGGGTGTTCTCTGTTCCTGACAAAGCAACATGAGGGAGAAGGCCCTTCCTCCGCCAGGGCCCCAGGCAGGCTGCGCCCAGCGTCAGGACTGCCAGGGGCCCTGAGCGCTGCTCCTGACTGGTGCCCTGGGGAACCAGGGCTCTGTGAGACTTCCCTCTGGGGTTGGGATGCCCCCGGGCAGCACCTCCAGGATCAGATGCAGTCAGACGTGCAGGGACATCCTGCTGGCCCTGCCCCTGTCCCCTAGACAGGCGCCTCCTGGCCGAGGGCCCTCCATCCTCCCCCGGGACTGACTTGCCCCTCAGCACTGCCCACCGCGGGGGTGGCCCTGGCCATGTGCACGGCCCGGACCTGGGCACTGTGTGGCTCTGAGCAGGTGGTCACGTCTCGCTGACTCTTCCATCTCTTGTAAGATACAGATGGTCACAGCATCTACCCCTTGAGCCGCTGGGAAGAATACGTGGGGAAACCTTGTTGGGTGCCCAGCGGCAGGCGTGCACTCCGTGAGTTTTCGCACAGCTTCTAAGCTGTCAGCACGCTAATTAGTGTTTCTGATGAGGGACATGGAGAGACCCCGGCTGACGGGCAGAACGGAGGTGCGGCCCGGTCCCATGTGAGCCAGTTCTTTAGCGATTCAGACTTTCCAAGGCCTTCCTGCCTCCCAGGGACCACTCAGATCATGGTTGTTCCCGTCTTCCAGCAAGTCTGGCTGAGGGAGAGCAGAGCCCCCAGGGCGGAGGCCTGGAGAGTGAGCACAGGCGCTGCCCCGGCCCTTCCTGGCAGCTCAGTGCAGAGGGGCTCCCGGCATGGTGATGCCAGTGTCTGGGCCAGCGAAGCCCAGGCCTGAGCTGTTGGGGGCAGCGTCTGGGGCCAGTCTGACCCTCCTCCCTCTGTGGGGGTTTCTGCATGTGAGGCCGAGGGTCCGAGCGCTGGACATCTCAACCCTATGCCCCTTCCACGAGAAGGGGGATTCTGGGAGCAGGCAGGGCTGTGCCTGCTGCTGCCCATCCCAGGGTTGCCCCGGACAGTGTTTGCCGAGTTCCCTGCTGTGTGGTGCCCCCAGGCCCAAGGGTGCTGTGCCCTGAGGCTGGTCTGTCCTCCTGTGCCTTGCCACAGGGGGCAGCAGCTGGGTGTCCAGGGCTGTGAGCTGGGACGGTCCTACAGCCAGGAGGCGTGCAGAGTCACACAGAGAGTTCGGAGGGACAGGTGGATGCTCCCCCACCCCACAGGCACTGAACACTCAGGGGTCGAGTCTCCCCCAGCCTGGGGCCTAAGGCAGGAGGGGCACAGGGTCCTCAGAGGAGCCTCAGGAGCAGCTCCAAGCTGAGCCCATGGCCAGGGCTCCTATCGGGACTGAGCAGGCGGGCGGCCCGTCGTGTGGCAGGGGCGAAGGTGCTGAGCATCTGCCTGGACTGTGTGACGCTGGGAACGCCAGGGACCCCGTCTCCTCCATTTCCACTGGCGTCTGCTCGGAGCCAGAGGGTCCCTTCCGCCATCCGTCCCCTCCCACCCCCCTCCCGCCACCCTGGCCCTTTGCATGAGTCCAGCATGAAGCCCCGTGGAGCATGAGGAGCTGCGCTGTGGCCGACACCAGCCTGAAACTCCCTCTGTTTCCCACAACGGAATCAAGAATCAAGAAAACACCCCTGACCCGCCCCCGCACCCCCACAGAGGCAGGTAGGGCGGCCCTGTGGCAGGAAGTGGGGCCTGGGCCCCGTCCGCTGGTGTGGAGCACTCTTCTCCCACCAGGCCTCATCCAGAGGGGCCTCGGGGGCTGTGGCCTCGTTTGGTGGGTCCCGCTCAGCCACACCCTGTCTGGAGCTGCCCTTGTCCAGCTGGGCTTGTTGACTGGCCACAGGGGCCTTGCTTCCAAGTGAGCGCCCACGGAGCTGCGGGTCCGAGCCCACACCCAGCCAGTCAGCATCTGTGGAAGCCAGGCTGATCAGAAGCCCCAGCCCTGAGGGTGAAGGAGTCTCCCTCCCTTCTTACTGTCATGAGTGACCTACGGCCTCGTGGACATCAACTCAGCTGAATTCTGAATCCTGCACACACATACGAAAACATGCACACTCTTGCACACATGAACACGTACACACGTGCACACACTAACTTGTGCAGTGAACATGAGGATGGTCACATACACCCTGAGCTCACACATGTGCACATATGCACACAGACGTGTACACACAGACCCTTGCATGAGGTCACACGCACCGAGTGCACACACACCCTCGCATAAGGACATAAATGCACCCTGACCACACACGTGCACACATACCCTTGCATGAGCACACAAGCACCCTGGGCACACACATGCACACACACCCTCACATGAACACACACATGCACCCTGAGCGCACACACGTACACACACACCCTCACATGAGGACACACGTGCACACACGCCCTTGCATGAGCACACACAAGCACCCTGGGCATACACACGCACACACACCCTCACATGAACACACACATGCACCCTGAGCACACACACGTGCACACACACTCTTGCAGGAGGACACACACATGCACACACACCCTCGCATGAGCACACACATGCACCCTGAGCACACACACATGCACCCTCACGAGGACACATGTGCACACATGCACACACATGAACATACACATGTACCCTGAGCACACACATGTACACACACACCCTCGCATGAGGACACACGTGCACACACACCCTTGTATGAGCACACACATGCACCCCATGACACGTGCACACACATTCTCGCATGAACACACACATGCACCCTGAGCACACACATGTACACACACACCCTCATGAGGACACACACATGCATACACATCCTTGCATGAGCACACACATGCACCCCATGAGTACACACACATACCCTGAGCGCACACACGTGCACACACAGACCCTGGCCACTTTGTCTGCCCTCCTCTGGTCTGTGCGTTGGTTCCTGCGCTGTCTGTGCCCCTCCCTCCTCGTCCTGGTGCATGAGCCGCTGCTCACGCCTTTCTGCTTCTGTCATTCCCGCTGCAGACACTTGACTCTGTCCCCATCAGACCTGGAGGGGCCAACGGCCCTAGTGGCACATTACGGGAGTAAAGCGCAGAGTGAGGCTGGGTGTGGGCAAGGGGAGGGGCCCTGCAGTGGGGGTCCCTCCGGGCCTCCGTGGGCTATGGGGCCAACGGGCCTTGGGCAGGGAAGTGGGTGAGCAGGTGGGGCCGGCTGGAGGGGCGGCGTGGAGTGGGAGCCCTCGGAGACAGCCGGCGGCCTGGCCCAGTGGGAGCTTCCTCACTTTACTCCTCCTAATGTGCCAGGCCCCTCGGGGACGGAGCGGGCAGGAGCAGACCCTCGCAGTGCCAGAAGGCGGCTGAGGACAGGGCGCACCCCATCCGTCTATCCTGGCACCTGCTGCCCCCTGGTCGGCTCTGGCTGGGCCTGCAGCCTGGACCCCGGGCACCATGGTCTGGCCCAGGAGAAGAGGGCAAGGCCTGCTGCACTCACCCAAACTCATGCTTTGGGGTCTCTGTTCCCGGTAGAGTGGACCAGATCGTGGGGCGGGGCCCAGCGATCACGGACAAGGACCGCACCAAGGGCCCGGCGGAGGCGGAGCTGCCCGAGGACCCCAGCATGATGGGACGGCTCGGGAAGGTGGAGAAGCAGGTGCGAGAGGTCGGCTGGGCGGGAGGGCCGTGGGCCGGGGCTGTGGTGCTGCTGTCCCGGGGCCCCTGTGGTTAGCTGGTGGCAGCATGGGCTTCAGGGGCTGGGTGCCCCAAGGAGTCCCTGCACAGGAGGGCTCCTCAAGTCTACGGGGCACATGGCCCTGTCGCCACTGACAGCTGCTCTGGGCAGACCCCTCACATCCCCCGTGAGCCCCCCACTCCCAGCCTAGGGTGCCTTCCCTCCTGACAGTACCGAAGGCCCAAAGTACCCAGGAGTTCTAGGTGGGGGTTGTTGGGAGGCGGGTCCTCAGGGTCTCCTGTGGGGGTGCCGGTGGGTGGGGGTGGCTGGGAGGCGGGTCCTCGGGGTCTCCTGTGGTGGTGCCAGTGGGTGGGGGTCGCCAGGAGGCAGGTCCTCAGGGTCTCCTGTGGGGTGTGCCGGTGGGTGGGGGTCACCGGGAGGCGGGTCCTCGGGGTCTCCTGTGGGGCGTGCCGGTGGGTGGGGGTCACCAGGAGGTGGGTCCTTGGGGTCTCCTGTGGGGCGTGC